ATTCCTATGTAATCTGCGAGGGAGTCCTAAGCGTGAGCGCGACTCCTGGGTGCCTGGGTGTCGGGAGCGCGGCGCTTAAGTAAATTGCAAGAAAGTTCAACGCAAGGGCGCTATTCTTCAGTAAATTGCAAGCAAGTCTCCAGCGAGAGCGCGACTCCAGAGCGCCGGTAGAATAAATTCTAAGGAAGTCCCAAGCGAGAGCGCGACTCCTGAATAAAACGCGAGGAAGTCTCGGGCAGGAGCGGGGGTCCTGGCTCAATTGTGAGGAAGTCTCAGGCGGGAGCCGTTGTTGTTGTAAACCGTGGGCCAACGACACAGTTTGACCCTCCAGACTTTCCCTGATAAAAAACAAGGTGCGAGCCTGGGAAGGGCACTTCAATCGGAAAAACACAATGTGCACCGGACGGGGGGGATTAACAATAATATCCTTCAGGAATGAGAGTTCAACAACAGCAACAACAACAACAACAACAACAACAAAACAAAAACAACAATCATTTTAAGACTGTTCGCTCTTATCTGCTCGCGTGTCATTCAATATGCATATCCCAAACCCCGGATACCCGCCCTCTTCGTCTTCGATCGTACCCCCTTTGGTGTGGTTGGTGAAACCCTTGAAAACAAAACGAAGGACATTATTCTATGGGGCCACAAAGGGCGACAGCGGGGCCACTGAGGGCAGCAAAGGGGCCACGAAGGGCGACAGCGGGGCTACGAAGGGAATGCGTATGGGGCCACGACGGGCGACTGCGAGCGGGGGCCACGAAGGGCATATAATGCGGGGCCACAATGGGCAGCGACGGGGCCACTGCGGGCAGCAACAGGGCCACGAAGGGCAGCGAACGAAGGCGACCGCGGAACCAGTACCAGCAGCGAGGGGCATCGAAGGCAGCGAAGGACAGCGAGCGGCGACTGCAATCCCCAACGGGCTGGTCGGGCGGGCAGGCCCAGACGGGCGGGTCGAGCGGGCGGGTCGTTGAAGCGTAAATTCTGGCTGAACCGCCAAGCAATATGTAGCGGGAGCGCCATTCCTGAGTGTCGAGGAGCGGCATCTGAAT